GCGGAATGCAAACCACGCCCGTTTGAATTTTGTTTTTTTAACCGGCCATTGTATTTGCTCGCTTCAGGCAGCGCACCCGAAGAGATTACTTTTGTGAAAGCAGTTATTATAGCAACACTAAATAAATCATCGGAGCGGTGGAGTGATGAGGATGTGTCGGCGCTTCTGCCGATTTACTCGGAGGACGCGAAGCGCCGCATTCAGAAGCTTCTACTGAATGCAGTTTCCGTGGCTCAGCAAAGTTAGCAGACCTGGCAAAGTCATGTCGGGACGACTACGAAGGTAAAATAAAATACATGCACTGCACTGTTTTAATCTGCACAATACTGGTCTCAGATGTACTTTTATTTGCTCAGTAGATCGAGCTAGCCATGCTAGAACTGGCTATCATAGGTCCAAGCTGGCTAACAACATCTAGCTAGCTAGCTATTCTCAGCCGTGCCCGCTATGAACACGTTTTGACTTGTGAATAAGTGTGCAATGTTCTGTAATTTGCTTCACTAACTCATGGCACTTATCGTGTGTTTCAGGCGAGGTGTTTCTCTCTGGATTGGAAACTAGTTAGCTTTCCCCTCCGGGATAATATAACGTTAGCAATTAGCATGCTAGCTGGACATAATGCTACCTCTAACAATACATTGTAGTTGCTATAATTTCATGAGTCATTTGCAACATTCATTCTACATGTTTAATGGTAAAAGCTTAAACAGTTGATTACCTGCATGCCACAAAGACTGATGTTCTAATATTTTGCACATTTAAGTAAAAATGTAATTTAAATTCAATTTATTTTTCCTTTTTTTTATTGATTGTTATAATTGTACTCAGCCATGTTGTTAGATGTCAATCCACTTACACTGTAACTACTCTGGCCTTGAAAGAAGGTTACGCATCTAACTGATGTCCACTAATCCCTATAAAACAAAGTTCAAGCATACATTAAGCACAAAACAATAAATAAGGGCACTTTGATATTTATTTGATATTATTTGATCCTATCTTATCTTCTACTTTACACCTGCATTTTGTACACTGTCCCTGCCTGCACCATGTCCAATGTTGACAACTTACTAGGCGATTAAACTGATCTTGTATCTTGCTTATTTCTCCTTAGGAAAGCGGGCACGGGATGACAGCTTCCTTGACACCATCATGGCGATGGACCGCCGTGCCATGGTCAGCAAGGAGAATGAGGACCTGCGTGCCAAGGAGATGCACGACGAACGGCTGCTGCATTCACACAAGGCCCAGGAATCGGACGACCAGCTGCTCATGGTGATGCCGCGCCATGCTGACTCGGCGGCGCGCCAGGTGGAGGTGTCGGCGCGCCAGGTGGAGCAACAAAATACCTTTCAGGCTGGGCTTCTGGCAGTGCTAAGCGAGCTGATTAAATCCAACAGGCCTTCAATAAAAAAATTAAGAAAAACTTGTCGTCGTTGATAAACTGTACAATGACTTGTTGGGAGGCGTGTGGTGCAGTGATCTGGTGCGTTGGTGTTCGGATCAGGGGAGCTCAGGTTCAAACCCCTCTGCAGTCAGCATGTCGTTGTGTCCCTGGGCAAGACACTTCACCCCAAATTGCCTACACCTGGGACAGTTAATTTTGTATTATTGTGATTATATATATGCCACTGTTATTAATACTGACACTTCACTTTGCACTAAGGTGTGTCTGCTGCTGAGCCTACCTATTGTTATTTTATATATATATATATATGTTTTGATACTACTGACACTTTATTTTATATTGAAAATGTTAACTTCTATTTACATGCATACGACACACCTGGGACAGCGTGATGCTGTTATTGATATTGTCTTGAGTGTGCAATAAAAGAGAACCTACATGGCGATTAAACAGAGCCTGTCTCTTACATTTTTCATTACATTTCATGTAACTAAGCTTGCTTATTTCTCCTCTGACACTTTATCTTTACAGTGACCTGTGTAGCATCCTATACATCACATGTAAGTGATTATTCTGATACCATCATGTTTCATCGGTTATAAACTGGCGAAGCTTTATTTATTGTGGCTTTCAAAAAGATAATTTCATTGTATTTCAAAATGGCGTCCAACACAAGCACTATTTATTTATAGAAAGAGAAATGGTTAAGTTTGTTATTACCAGTGTTGTGAGTTCAATATTTTAAATTAATTATAGTAAGGGAACATATTGGAGTTAGTGTAGTGAGTTTCAGAGCAGTGTAATAATTATTTGACCTAAAACTAAATGTTTTTATGAACATGACATGGGGATTTGCTAACTTTTGATTTCCCCCATTTTACACGACACAAATGGAGGCCACTATGGGCCAAAACTAAGACGTAGGTTTCTGTAGGGTTCATGGCAGACGGATGCAGTTGCTCTCAGGAGGATATATAATAAAGGTGTGTTAGCTGCTGAGCCTATTTAGTGTGCATACGACACACCTGGCACAGTTTATTCATTTCACACGTGCATGTCGTCGTCCAATCCTTTTGTCAATCCTTCTTAACCGCCTTCGCTTCCGAATCAGCATTGCTATTGCATTTGACTGGTCGACGATCTGTATTTGTGTTTGCTTAAATAACTCAGACGAAGCTCATGTCTGAGGTCGGAAGGTAAACAGACGCCATATACAGCAGGCAGTATACGCGGGAGGTTTTTCTTCTTCTTTTTCTCTCGGTTTTTTGGCGGATTGCAACTTTAAGTTGCATACCGCCACCTACTGTACTCGCCGTGAAGTTGTTTGCGGCCTGCCAGTAAACCCAAAGCAGAAGAAGAAGAAGTGACATCAGCGGTTCATTTGCCTAATCCACCCCCAGGAACTCATTTTGGTGTGAACGCGATCTGCTTTAGTTCATCAGAACTAAAAGAGTTCTGATGAACTAAAGTTCTCATGAACTATTGTGGGAAAAGTACTTGGTGTGAACGTGCCTAATGGCATGAACTCCATGGCTGAGATTTCAGGATCCAACGTGTCTGTGCTTTTTTCTTTGCTTTCCTCCAGATAAGCATTCATTCCATCTTGAGTTTGATCATCCATTTTTTCCTCCATGCCAATGCTTTGCAGAACCTTTATTTTAGCAGCAGATGCTGCAATTTCTGTGTCCAGTTCCATTTGTTCCAGTTTAGATTTTAGTGTTGCTTGTTGTAATAGCAGTGCATGTTTGTCCTTTAATACAGCTGCTCTGGCTAGCAGGGCAGCATTTTCAGCCAACCCAGTATCATTTATTAAATGTAGCCTAATTAAATAAATAAATAAAGCAAGTGAAGTAGGCTACATTTAATAAAGCCGTGGAGGGCGGGAGTTTATAAACCTGGTTAAAGAGTAACCGCCCTTACGGGACGCTCTAATAAGTAAAGCGAACGCGCCAGCAAGTAGAAGACACTTCACCTGGCCTCCTATTGGTTGAGGGATTTTGAAATGGTTGTTGTTAGCAGATTTAGACTTATACCTTTTGTTTATCTGCAGCAGAAAGGTGACTATTCTCACAGTTCAAGTTTAGCCATTCATCTCGGCGTTATGTATTCGATGCACACAGGTCAAGAGACATGAGAACTGACAAAGAAGGGGCGTGACTCCAACTGTCATATACCCCTGTATGTGCTACAGCGCTACCCAATGAACACAGTAGTAGTCGCAGCTACTTATATAAACAATATGGTACACAGTATTACATGTAGTCATACAATATACATATCTCTGTATGTTATACCTCAACAGTTGTTCCACAGAAAAAATCCAAGCGCAGAGCAGAAATCTGAGAGCAGACTGAGTGCTAGGAGAAGGTTTTAAAATGGAAAACAGGAAATCTGTGCAAGCAGCAATATATCTTAGTGCAAGCGTACAGTTTGAGCAGAAGCAGAGCAAATCTAAGCGCAAGCAGGCGCTATTTGAGTGTGAGGATAGGGTTTGACTGAAAGAAATACAAAATCTGAACGTGAAATCAATAAATTATGCTCTCAAATTGAAAGAGCACGCTCTTGAATAAAGATAGGGAATAACCTCCATAACACGGGAAATACTGTTTTCATGCCGGGTATTTCTGCACTGGTGGGCCATGTTAACAATACCGTGTAACTGTCACGTTTGAAGGGACGAAATCGTAACATCTTCACGTCTCCCAGCGTGGTAAATCGTCACATGTTCACGTCTTGCCGTGATACCGGGTTGTTTTCAGCAGACGCTCTTATAGAGTGGCGAAGTCACGCCCATCTACTTCCGGGCAATGGGACCTTATTTCGGAAAAATTATGCATTGAAGTCAATGGGGAGAGAAAATGTATCTTTCGATCCCGTTTGAATTGTGCCATGAATTACACATATGATGTTTGTCAATCTTAAAAAATCATTTCCATGTCAAAAAAGTCACAGTTTGTCGTAAAACTGTTGAAATATAAGACTATGAAAAATACGCAACTAGAAAGACTACAAATCCCAGATCCCAGAATCCTTGCGTAAGTGATGTCATAGCTGATTTATTCCCTCCACTAAATATAAGAGATAGCTAAAATAAATGTACTTACTGTACTTACTTACTTGAACAAGATGCCTGTGTGCTTTGTACTAGGTTGTTATCATTCCAGTATTAATACGTCTTGCTCATTCTTTCGCTTCCCGTCTGATAAAAGGGCCAGGAGTCGCTGGATCAAACACATCAGGTAAAATACATATTGTGCATGGAACATAGTCAAGTTAGCTACCTAGCTAGTAGCAAGCACGTTAGTTAGCCTTGCCATTTTTTATTAGCCTTAACATGAAGTAACATAAGTAAACCAAAATGTTAAACAGTAAGAGTAGTCATGATGGTAAGTATTTTGTGAAACCTTTGAAGAGTACTGTCACACCGGTTTAAGCCCGGGTACACCCTCCACTGGGGTCCCAGGGGCCGATGCTAATGTAGGCTAACGCTACATTAGCATTGGCGATCTTTTTTCTACTTCATGCTATCTGCACAAATGGTTAACATTGAACATTAAAAATATCAGGCAGTTCAGGGAAAGTCGAAGGCAGGCAGCTTTGCATGACATTCTTCTGGACGTGTTTCATTGTGATGATAGTGAGGGTGAGTCAGTCTGTTTTTTGGCAAGACAGTAGTTGAGTGATTACTGAGAGAAAATGATTCTAAGTGTTTCAAGTGTTGTTACTGACCTTTTTCTCTTTTATTTTCTTTGCCTCACCTGTAACTCTGCTGAGACCTTGAGGAACATGCACACTGGACTGACCTGCTCTGGCAACCTGATTTCCACTGTACGTATTTGGTTATGGTATATTATTTATATACATCAAAGGCACAATGCACCCCCCAGAGCTGCACCCCACATAGACACACATGTATTGAGTGTGATATTTTGCATAAGTCATGTGAAATCATCTTTACACACTTGAAAACTGTAAGAGCAGCAATTTTTTTTTTAAATTAAATGTTTAATATCCCATAATAAAGTTGATCTGTTTTCTTTATTCTTCTCTCTTCCCAGCTCCATCCATCACCATTCTCTGTTCCTGCAGGTCCTGCTTGCTAATCAATGCTCATATTTTTTACACAATTATAAATAAACTCAATTCATTGTATGACATGAAGTTGTGCTTCATTCTGAGTCTACAACCAATATTTGTGTTTCCAACATTCATTGAAGTTGAAATGGTATTACATGGCAGTCAATATATGAAATAAAAACATTTAAATGTACTTTTTGTACATTTATTTTGGGTTGGTGGTGGCCCTGGACTTAGGCACTTAGTTAGTTGCCCCCGTTTTGCTCCAGGGGGACTGTCCCTGAAATGAGTTAAATGTAAGTCGCTCTGGATAAACACATAAATAAATAAGCACATACATAAATAAATTCATTCTGCCTTCAACTGCAAAATGATTGTGGACTGCACCGACATCCATGTAGCTGCCCCCCAGTAAGATGAACCAAGCAACGTTGACATACTCAACATACAGCTGTGCTCTTAAGTTTACATGCATAATTTGTGAAATATTGGTAAATTTTTTGAAAGAATGACTGATGATGCAGAAAACTTCTTTTATTTAGGAACAGTGTTCAGGTGAAGCCATTTATCACTACATATATGTGTCACACATAAAAAGGCCTAACACACTGTGTTTGGCCTTTTAAGAACTCTGTCTTACTTCCTCGCTCTTGGTCCTCTTCTACCTGAAAATAAAGACAACCAAAACACACACAAGCTGAATGTTAAAAATGCTTCACAAGATAAATAGAAGAGTGCAGACTGTTAAAACTATGGGTAGGTGGACTATTTGGCAGGTTTAAATTATTATTAGTAATTCATTATATCATTTTCTCATTGTAGACGAGCAGACAGGGAGCCAGATGACAACGCAAGAATATGCAGCTGCCATTTTCCACATGGAAAAGAGAAAGGGCCATGTTTATTTGAGTGGACAAAAAAGAAAGTGAGCTTACCTGTAAATCAGTCCACCGACCACGGCTACAGCAAAGGGCCTGAGTCTGCAGCAGAGGTGGGGACTCGAGTCACATGACTTGACTCGAGTCAGACTCGAGTCCCATATTTTTTGACTTGAGACTTGCTTGACTAACATTGATAAAAGACTTGACTTGACTTTGACTTGGTATTCATGACTTGAGACTTGACTTAAGCTTGAGACAGATGACTTGAAAGGACTTGTCTGTTTAAAATTAAATATTTGCGTTTGTTTTTGTCGTGAGATATTACGTTTAGTTTTTTCGAAAAACGTGATTGGGTGATTATAGCGCCATGCGCGCAAACCTGGCAACCCACTAGACGGCAGGAGCGTCAGTTAACATGGCAGCGGCTAGCGTTACTCCAAAAATAGTGAAGTTTGGATTCAAGGATTATGTTGTCGATGACGCTAATAAGAAGAGAACAGCGGTATGCAGGGTCTGCAGCATAAAGATCAGTGACACGACCACCACAACATCCAACTTCATTCGCCACTACAAAAAAGCCCACAGAGAAAGGTGCGTGAATGTGTTGTGTTAGCTAGAAAGCTAACGTTAAGTTTAAGCTACGTTAGACTTGGTTTCAAATCGATTAAGCATTGCAAAGAGAAGACAAAACGGTAAATGAACACTAGAACCGCCAAGGGATTCATTTTGACTAACCCTGATACTGACGGGCTGTCAGGAGAGGGAGAGAGAGAGAGAGGAAAAGAGATGCCTCGTTTATTTCCCCTGTGTTATCAGAAGTTACTGTAAACTTTGAATAATGTAGTTCATCTACTTTTAGTAGTTTGTTTAAATGTTTTAATTATGGTTTTTTTGTTTGTAGAAGTGCATCATTCCTTGATTTATTGTAAAAATGAATCTGAACTTTTTGATCTGTTATGATGATAAACTGAAGCAATTTCTAAATTAACCCAATTAACTGAGTTTTAAATCGTCCTACTTAGTTTATAAGGAAATTATGAAGAGGAAGAAATTAAATGATTTGAAAATGATATCTATGTAGGTTCTGACGCTGTTGGCGGTTCTAGTGTTAACAGACATTTAAATTAAATATGTGTAATGGCAAATGCCATATATGACTTTCTTACCTGGAATTCTGCCTTTTTGAACAGACTTTTTGACTGAGTCCTAGCTATATTGTCTGCAGTTCTGGGGTTAATATGAATCTAATATGATTGCCATCGGTCTAAATTAGATTTCAAATGATTAACTGTGTATGTAATGAAGATCATAGTGTGGGTTGAATCCATTTTCATAACCACTGTCTTTTAACTGATTTAAATGTGGAAACTGGGCTTATTCATCAGAATTTCGTATGACTTGACTTGACTTGCTTGACCTGAGCAATGACTTGACTTGCTTGACTCTCACCACAGTGACTTGGGACTTGCTTGATACTTGTAGGTCAAGACTTGAGACTTGCTCATGACTTGCACATGTAGGACTTACTCCCACCTCTGGTCTGCAGGCACCAACCCCGAACCCTCCAGGGTGCAGTCCACAGACACCGACGACGACGAACCTGGACCCTCCGGTTTGCAGTCCAGTCGTTACGAAGACCAGGCAGGGGATGATCGTAAGAGGTCATATGGAATGGGAAAATATTCAGCAGCAGGCTTATCTGATGATGTCATCCGAATGGAAACAGGGCTTCCTGATATGGCAATGTTTAAAAGGGTGGTGGGGTTGGTGGAGCGCTTTGAGGGCTCCATTGTCTATTTTGCTGGATGGAAAGTGGAGGGCATCCTGCTGATAGACCAGGTCTTCATGGCCTTAATGAAGATTCGCCAAAATTACCCACACCTGCATATTGCACAGCTGTTCCACTGCAGTACTGCAACAGTGAGTAATGTGGTGAACACCATGGTCCATCTGCTCCACAAGTTGCTGTTCCAAGCGATGATGTCTACTGTGCCCAGTCGTAAAAAAAAACAGAACAGCATGCCTGCTTCTTTCCACTCCTCTGCCTTCAACTGCAGAATGATTGTGGACTGCACCGACATCCACGTGGCCGCCCCAAGTCAGATGGACCAAGCGAAGCTGACATACTCCACTTACAGAGGGATGCACTGTTGTGCACCGACAGAAATGCTAGAGAGATGTATGTTATTTACGTTTGCTTTCTCTCATTCCAGGCTTCCTGATTATTTTCACCTGTGTCTCCTGTGCTCATCAATGTCAGCCCCGCCCCGGATTGGTCCCACCTGTGTCTAGTTACCCTGTGCTTATATTCCCCTGTCTCCCAAGTGTTCTTTGTCAGTTCGTATTGTCTCTTGCTATGGTCAGGTCTATGCTCTTTGTACTCTTGTAAAGTTTGATTCCTCACTACGTGAGCGCTTTCATTTTGTTCCTCTATTTTTGTCATCTCGGTTAGAGATTTGATAGTTACCTTTTTTTGTTGTTCATTGCTGTATTTTGGAAAATAAAGTATCTTACTAATACTTTACCTCTGTCTCCCGGGTCGTGCAATTGGGTCCTACATCCTAAGTGTCTGAGTTCGTAACAGAACGAACTGACCATTATGGACCCAGCCGACCCAAGAACGCTTCACGCAGCGCTGTCAGCACAGGGCGTGAAGATCTTTCATCACGAGGAACAGCTGGGCCTAGTCAACCAGGAAATGCAAGAACTAAGAGGACGCCAGGCCGGGATTCAGGAAGCATTATCCACACAGATGCAACAACTGGCTGTCCAAATGAATCATTTTTTCACTCACCAACAGACCGCTCCTCCGGTGACGTCATCCACAACTGAGAGGTTGCCTGTCAATGCTCCAGCTGATTTCCCAAGTCAGGCTGTTTCTTCCCCTTTACGGCTGGCTCTTCCGGAGAGATTTTCCGGAGATTCTTCTAATTGCAGAGCCTTTTTGGTACAGTGCGATCTGCATTTTCAACACAACCCAGGAGCCTTTTCATCGGACCATGGTAAAGTGGCGTTTATTGTGTCTCATTTAACGGGAAGAGCTGCAGCCTGGGCTACTGCAGAATGGTCAAGAGAAACTGAACTATGTTACTCATTGACCGATTTCATAGAGATTATGAGTCGTATTTTTGACCACTCATCGCCTGCTACAGAGGCCAGCAGAAAACTTTTTCATATACGCCAGCTCAACCGCCAGGTGGTTGATTACGCCATCGAGTTTCGCACAGCAGCAGCGGACAGCGGATGGAATGTTCCGGCTCTTCGTGACGCCTTCATGACGGGACTTTCGGAACCGATAAAAGACCAGCTGGCTCCACTGGAGACACCCCGGGATCTGGAATCTCTCATCGCCGTGGCCATCCGGATCGATAACCGTCTTCGGGAAAGAGAGAGGGAGCGTCGACGCAACCGAGACGTTATTCCCAGCTCCCAGAATGCATCTTGGTGGGTCGCGCCGCCAGCCGAGGATGTCCAGCCCATGTTACCACACCGTCAGAGGATTACACTTCCCAATGACTCCGGGGAACCCATGCAGCTGGGAAGAACCAGGCTTTCTCTGGAGGAGAGGCAGCGCCGTCTACGGGAGGGTTGTTGTTTCTACTGCGGCCAGTCGGATCATCAACTCGCTTCATGCCCGGGAAAAGATCGTGCTCACCAGTCAAAAGGAGGGCGCTGGTGAGCAAGTTTCCCGCAGACTTTCCTCCTCGACCTGTTACGCAGGTAAACATTTGTATTAACAATCAAACCATTGACCAGGGTGTGTTAATAGACTCAGGGGCTGACGAAAGTCTTATGGACTGGGGCGTAGTAAATCAGCTAGAAATAAAGACTGTTCCGCTATCTCATCCTATTAATGCCAGTGCCTTAGACGGCCGCTTGTTGTTCACAGTCACCCATTGCACTGAGCCCATTCAGATTACTGTGAATAAGGACCATACCGAGAGCATGCAATTCCATATTTTTGAGTCGGCTCAGCACCCGATTATTTTGGGGTTTCCATGGCTAAAGATCCACAATCCTCACATTGACTGGCGTTCAGGGAAAATTAAGGAATGGGGAGAGGATTGTATGGGCAGGTGTAAACTTTCACAACCTGTTAATGCACCAACAGACTCTCGTAAAATCATTATAGATCACCCCGACTATCCTGATCTACAGAAGGTACCTTCCTGTTACCATGATTTAAAGGAAGCCTTTAACAAATCCAAAGCCATGTCGCTACCTCCTCACCGAGATTTTGACTGTCCCATTGATCTCTTACCAGGAGCCCCCATTCCCAAGGGGAAACTTTATTCGATTTCGAGACCTGAGAGAGCAGCAATGGACGAATACATTTCCTCTTCACTCAAATCAGGAATTATCCGTCCTTCATCTTCTCCAGCCGGAGCGGGATTTTTCTTTGTGGGAAAGAAAGACGGGTCTCTGAGACCTTGCATAGACTACAGTCCACTAAATGACATTACGGTGAAGAACCGCTATCCTCTGCCACTCATGACATCTGCCTTTGAACTACTTCAAACTGCCAAAATATTCACCAAGTTAGATTTAAGAAATGCATATCACTTGGTTAGAATAAGAAAAGGGGATGAGTGGAAGACAGGATTCAACACTCAGAGTGGTCACTATGAGTATCTAGTAATGCCCTTTGGACTATGCAATGCACCGGCTGTGTTTCAAGCTCTTGTGAATGAGGTTTTACGGGAATTTTTGAATATTTCAGTGTTTGTGTATCTGGATGATATTCTGATTTTCTCCCCAGACACTAAGTCTCATGTTAACCATGTCCGTCAGGTTTTGCAGAAACTGCTAGAGAATCAGTTGTATGTCAAGGCAGAGATGTGTGAGTTCCACACAAAAGAGGTATCCTTCTTAGGATACATAATCTCACCTAATCATATGCAATGGATCCGGCTAAAATCAGTGCAGTATCCCAGTGGCCTACACCAGACTCCAGGAAGAAGGTCCAACAGTTTCTAGGGTTTGCTAACTTCTATAGGAAGTTTATTAGGAATTTCAGTTCTGTTGCTGCCCCTCTACATGTTCTGACTTCTCCTAAGGTTCCTTTCAAGTGGAC